TGACACTGGGTTACATCATCAAACCAGAAGCTTTAAACGAGCTAGTCATCACTAATGCACTGCGATGTGCCAAACTTGTCTTGGTGGGCAAGAATCCTGAGCTGCATGGGTTCGGGGCCGATCCCAACTGCATGACTCAATTTGGGTTCTTCCCTCTGCACCGAGCTGCTGAAATGTTCTCTGTTGATATGATTGAGTTGCTCTTGCACCATGGCGCGTCGGCCAATTTGCGCACATCCGGTGCTTTAGTCATTGACAACCTACTCCCGGTCCATGTTGCGGTTGAGAACACTTGCCTGCACACCTGCACAAGTACCTGGAGAACGGTCTACATCCTAATCAAGAAAATATGGATTACAGTCATGCAGATATCAACTATATCCTGAAGCTCATCCATATCCTCTGCCTACCGGAAATGGTTTGTTTCACATCCTTCCTTGCACAAATTACTTGTGTTGCAGCATAACTAAAAAAGTTTCATCTATCTCAAACCACTGATATAGCAATACCTGAGGGTATTACATTCTTACATCTGCACTTTTCAAAGACTACAGTTCACTGTGTTGCTTTGTGTATGACATTATTTGGTTACTGATAAGCAACTTATGTTGCCATTAACTTTTCAAAATTAGCTTTCCTTTTAAACTGAGGTAATAATCACCGAGTCTTTCTTCCATGTTCGTTTTTTTTTTTTTTTTGCAGAAGCTCTTCTTGGATACAACTAGGCTGCTAGCCAAACATACAGATAATTTGTTAGATGAGGTCTGCAAATACATAATTGATGGGAAGCTTATCCAGATGGCTGTTTTGCTCCTAGCAACTCAAGAGCAGATCCGTGGTGTATCTTCCAGCAAGAAAGACTGCAATAGTAAGCCAGATGGGTTTGCCATTATCACTAACTGTGTTGTGGGCAAAATTACCGCCATACAATTGGAGATGTGTCAAAAAGGAGTGGAACTGAAGCCACTAGAGGCGAAAAAGAAGCTTTTCGATATGACACTGACGCTTGTTCATGTAATTTCCCAAGCTGGCGAAGCTCTTGATTCTTACATTCGGGATCATGCCAAGGTATCAAACTGTTTGTACTTGCAGTTAAAACATCACCATCCTACTTTCTACTAAATATGTACATATCACTGCATTCATCTGATCGATATAAAAATGCTAGAAATTGCCGATATCAGGCCTATTTATGAGGACCTAACTGTTATCTAGCATTGTGGGATATGAAATGAGAACATTTGCTAGTTTGTTCCTCCTGACACTTTTATGATACTAGATGGCTAGATAAACTACGGTCACTCCCTAAAAGGCTAAAACAAGATATCGTTCAGAGAATAGATGTTCTTAAGGATAAATTTGAGGCAATATGTCTCACCCTTTTGAGCCTGCGTGTTGTCTGCTGTCTTCAGTTCAAAAGCGTTAAATATCAACAGATTGCACTTTTTAGAAAAAAAAAGTAGCAAATTATATACATTCATATTTACTCCCTCCGTTCCTAAATATTTGTCTTTCTAGAGATTTCAACAAGTGACTACATACGAAGAAAAATGAGTGAATCTACACTCTAAAATATGTCTATATACATCCGTATGTGGTAGTCCATTTGAAATCTCTAAAAAGACAAATATTTAGGAATGGAGGGAGTATATGCTACTAGTTGCAAAATCAAGTAAATTTTATATTTGTAAACATTTCTTTGCATTTTTTTGCGTTTTTTAATCACCACATTCGTTAATAGGGATTATGTTCTAGACATTGATCTTCACTTTTTATGACCATATCTTAGTAAAACAAATATTAGGGTTAGGAATTTTTATGACAAATCCGATGGTACCATTTTCACCTTCGGGATACTCAAGTATTTACGAATGGAGGTAGTAATTGATTACTACGTGGTCCATCGCAGTTAATTCTTTTTATCATCTCTCGGTATTATTGGTTAAATTATGTTGCTCATTACACAGCCCTACAGCTATGTGGTTACCCGTATTCATACATACAGGAGTACTACCATGGTGAACTATGCTAGAAAATTGTTCCATTCAGAATTGCTTAAAAGGAGAAATCCAAATAGTATCCCAATCCAGAAAATTTGAGAAAGTTCCTATCCTGATTCAGGAAGACGGAAATTGCCGGTTGCTTCTTTTGTATGAGCTTCTTTGTAAACTTATTGGATTTTTAGTAAGAAATAAAATTTCTCGATGATTAATCACAGTGAAACTTTCCTTCTATGTATGTTTCTTTTGTGTTCTTTTTAATTTTGTATAGGAAGCAACAGTCAACTAATTTTCTGTAATAGGATCATGTTGGTTCCTTTATTGGATCCCTAACATTATCATTGTTGAAGCTCATATAATTTGCTTGATGTGCAGCTGGCCGCGTCATTCTATCAGGACCGGGCTCTAACATGGAAGGTGAGGAGAGTTCTGTTTTATCTTTTCACACTGTTCTGTTTTGTTCTATTTTTCTGACAGGAAAGAGAATGCAATTCTATTTCATTCATGATCTGATTTCTATTTTCACACTGTTCCGTTTTCACAAATTGCTTTTCTAAATATCATATGCTATGTCGAATGTCAATAGAATGAGCTACAATTGTGAATGCAGGTGCCCTATATCATTCCAGTATCCCATGTGGAGGTCCTTGATCGTGTCTCATTGATATTGAAGGATTATGGTCTTTGTTCTGGAGAAGGCATAGATATTGGAAATCTGTACTGTTCTGCACACCTTTTCATTTCTTAGTTGACCATAATTTTGTATACGTATTGATGTTCTTCTGATTATTTCTATTTCTCGAAGCTGTCCCTATGAGAACGTGGTATCCACAGAAGAGCTGCCTCGCAGACTTGGTATGTGGGCGTGCATGCGCATGCTGTGTGTTGATTGAAGTGTTTATTTCAAAATTTGAGAATATGAAGCCTAATTTATTCTGTGATGGAAAACAGCACTGATGGCCAGGATTAAAGCAGACACGGATAAGCCTTGTTTGGAAAATGTAAAGGTGACTGAAATAATTATGGAAATCCCCCTGCCCCTGCCATGTTGCCTTTTTTCGCCATGATTTATTCCCAAACCCTTGTGTGCTATCGGGCGCGTAATAACGTTCTTATATTTATTTGAATGTTGGTTCAAGCGGACACAAAATTGGCATTTTTGCAAGCTCAACTGTTGTGTCCTGAGGACAGTTCTTATTGGCCCTTGCTATTTTCCAACACGCATGCTCTTCTTACCGTCTCCAAGCTTATTATCAGTAACCTAAACTATTTCTCATTTTTCATAGCGGTCCAACTTAACTTCTCAAGCGACTGTTGCTGCTGCTGGCTGGTTTTTGGGATTTCTAACATGTACATATTGCTTGACTTATGAGCCAGGCTAAAGGGAAGAAAGGACCTCGAGGATGGGAGCTCAAATTGGCAAGGAGAAGCTTCTTCCCATACTGGAGATCAGTGTTAACGTCCCAGTTTCATGTGAAGGAGGAGATCAATAGCTTGAACAAATCAACTAGACACGCATCGACATTCATGGGCAGAACCCCGCAATTAAAAGTTAACTATCAACCCAAAAGGCTGTTTTGCACAGCAGCATTGACGCTCTTGAAAGTGTTAAGGAATGCATGAGGAGCAAGGTATGCCATGAGTTCTGTTTTTCTAGTTCAAGTTTGTTAACGTGTGCAGTGCATCGATGGGAAGATTTTTCTTGATGAACCTTAGGACTGAACATGTGTTTGTAGGTTTAGTTTTGTCGATTGAACTTATCAAGGTTTGTGGGATTGTTGTGTGTTATGGTTTCGCCTGCGATTTTGTATGTTTTGTGTTCGCTTTTTTGCTCACCTGACATTTCGAGGCAAAATATATTGGTGAGAACCCTTGGTTAATCTTTCTTCCATGTGCACATGGTGTAATCTTATTTGCAGTGGCGGAACGTAGTGGGGACCAAACTGGGCCATGGCTTGTCCTTGTCTACAAATTTCTTCTCAGGAGTTGGTACAGATTTGGCCCAAGAACCATAGATGGCCTGCTAGAAAAAATAATAGAGGTACCACAAGTATAATATCCACGATTGGACTGGAAATGGCATAAGCTTGGGCCAATTTGGCAAAGAAATGACTAGTTGGATAATGAACAAAATTAAAACATATACAACTTAAACTAAGTATATATTGCTACTACATAATGAGCATTTCATTCCTAGGGATTTTGATTGAGTTATTTTTCCTAGGAAAAAAAAGAAAAGGCAGATTCAGAATCTTTTTTCTTCGGACTAACCCAAACACAAAATAGCTCCCCTATATTCACACTCTCAGCACTTTCAGTTTAGAACATCATCTGTCTGGGATTCAGATCCCCCAGAGGCCCTGTTTGGATTATTGTTTTTTTTCCTTTAAATACACTTGTAAATAATACATGTCTTGGCCCATCGTTTCATTTCCAGACGTAAATTGCCCAGCGGTCAGTAAGATACACATGCAAGTGAAACACCTCCGTTTCGAATTACATCGATTCATCATATACGATGAATAAATTCATATTCCCGTAAAAAAAAGTGGTGGTATCTGAATTGCCTTTATCACTTTCACATCATTAAAGTACAAGATTATACACAAGCCCTCCAGTGAGAGTATCTAGCATGAACTGAAACAGAATAATAATACGGAGTATAATTATTTGTCACACTTTTTTTGAGCGCCTATAACGCATGAGGTCTCCTTTCATGACATCTGGAGCGGGAGACGCACGAAGTGTTCTTTGTTGTCCGTTGCCAAAGAGCGAGCACCAGAATTCAGAAGTCTTCGGAGAAAACAATCAAAACATCGACACCAGAGAATGTATTCTATTCATTTTTGCGTGGACAAATCAACGAATCAGCAAACGAGACGGCAAGCTCGCAAGAACGAAACCAAAAAAAAACTGATATAATGCTGCACAGGGTGACGGGAACGGGACACATCATGGACCAATGGACGCATGCGCAACGGCCCCATACGTTCATGGCTTTCAGTAGTTGACGACCCTGCAGTTCGCCCTGATCTCGGCGTGGCGGCCGGCCTTCTTCACGCCGATGCCGGCCATCTTCACCATGGCCTTGGCGAACTTCTGCTCCCACCGCCCGCCGGCGCGCGCGCTGTCCCGCACCATCCGCGCCGCCTCCGGGGTCTCCAGCAGCGCCGCGTCGGAGGCGAGCAGCACCCTGCGCTTCAGCACGTTGCGGTAGTACTGGCTGTCCAGCTCCGTCGGGGTCACCGCGTCCTGGCTCACCGTCGGGTCGCCGGTGCTGTTCTCCGCCCGGACGCACCTCCTCCTCAGCGACCGCGCAAACGACGGGTCGATGTCGGCGTCGGCGTCGACTGCCGTGCGGCCCGCGGCGAAGGTCGAGCAGCGGGCGTGGCCGACGGAGTGCGCGCCGGAGAGCACCACCATGTCCTCCGCGTCGAGGCCCTGCCTGGCAAAGTTGTCGACGAGGTCGGTGAAGCTGGCGGACGCCGGGGGCAGGGACGGGACCGTGTCGGAGGCGTTCGAGCGGCGGCCGTCGAGCCGGCCCGCCGGCATCGCGAAGTCGACGCGGTAGCCGCTCAGGAGGTAGGACGCGTCGCGCGCTGCGAAGGCGACGATGTCAGCGCAGGAGACGGTTCCCGGGCACGCCTCCTCCACGGCGGCCTTAGCCGCGTCGATCGCCTCGAAGCCACGCAGGCTGTTGATGTTGGGCGGGCCGAGCTTCTCCGGCCGCTGGTTCGACGCCGTCGGGTCCAGCAGCACCGACGCGTCGCAGCCCTGCGCACCATTAAATACACGCCCATACGTGTCAGCGACTCACCGACTCACCGAGCAATGCGAGTATTGGTGCGCGTGCATGTGCATGCATGAACGTGTGTGTCGTTTACCTGGACGAAGCAGTCGTGGAAGAGGAGGCGGATGAGGCCGGCGCCGACGCCGGCGTCCTCGGCGACGGCCTCGCTCACGGCGGCCCTCACGATGGACTCCGCCTCGGGGCACGTCTCCTCGTAGTACCCGACCTCGAGCCCGGGGACGTCGTCGGGGGCGCCTCCGCACGCCGCAGCTAACAGCAGCGCGCATGCCACCAAGACCGCAAGCTCCGAACCGGCAGCCATGGCCCTTGATCTCCCGAGCTAAGCTGAGCTCACCAGCTAAAGATCGACGGACCAAGCGTGAGTGAGATCGATGAAGTGTTCTTGGTAAGGAGAGCCAATTTATAGGCAGGGGTAAACATCTCGCATTGTGCGCGGTGACAATGGCTACAACGACTCTTCATTTCTATACGATTTCGTTACCGAGCTGTGGGCACGAACGGCGCCATTGACGAGCGAGACGTCGAGCTCGAACCTACTGGCAACTTCAACGCATGGAGGTCTCCCCTAACTCCAAGCAGATGCCTCCAAATGGCCGGGAGAGATGGCCTCCAGGCTTCCACATTGATAATTCTTTATGTCAACTGAACTAGACACAGTGCGTGGCTAGAACATTCCGGGCAACTGAATCGAGCAGAGCGATGTGTCGATGATTGGGACCGGCTCTTGGCGGCTTGTGAACGGAGAACAAAATTACCGCGTCCTCCGGCGGCGTCTTTGTCAGGCCGACGTGGAGTCCGACGAGCGGCGACGCCACGGCAGCGGCTGTGGTGGGAGTGGAAGACGGCGGCAGGGACAAACCCGACAGAGCCCGCGCCGAGACCGGCGGCACACAGCAGAATAAAACAGACGTGACTGACACCCCGTGGAGCAGCTAGTACTTCGAAGGTTCTGATACCTGAATTCTGAACTCCATGTATGAGTAGGGAGAGCATCTTCAGAACTCTGGTGGTTTGACGGAATTCAGAACTCTTTTTTTTAAACGGAGGCAAATAATTAAGTAAAGCGTAGAGTTTGTTACAAAGCACCCAAACACGACATGAATCATTATTCTCGCGACACGACTCCCCCTTTCGCTCCGGTGGTGACCCAAAGATTTGCCTCGCTCATGATGTTGTTTAGCAAAATTGTTGGCGGCGCTCTCTTGTTACGGATGCGTTCCTCTCATTCCATATGGTCCATGATACAAGCATGGTAAGCGAAGCCGGATCTACTTGATGCCGGCACCGGTTCTACTAGCTTGCGCACCAATCCTTTAGGGAGCCCTCCAAATGCCAAGAGGCTACTCCCAGATCCTTGAGCCCTAACTTTTCCATGACCAAACCCATAAGCCTCAGGGTTTAACAACATTTAAAAAATAGGTGTGTGCCGCACTCTTGTACTCTCTTGCAGAAAGGGCAAAGCTCACAATTTGCCATCCCCGCTTTTTCAACCTATTGGCCGTCCAAATTCGATCTTGAATAGCCAACCATGTGAAGAACTTAACTTTTCACGGAACCCAAGCCTTCCAAATGATTTGGTCCAAAGGAGAGAAGGCCATGCCAAGGAATCGCGTCTTATAAGCGGAGGTCACCGAATAGTGCCACTAGTCGTATGCTTCCACATAATGTCGTCCTTGACGGACTCATCAAGTTGCATCTCATGGACAAGCATCCAAAGGGTGAAGAATTACCGGATGTGCTCAATAGAGACAACGGTAGAGGGTTGATCTTGAGAATCCACGCCTTGTTCTTTAGGGCACACGAACCATCCAATTCTTTCTCGAGGAGGCATTGAATATGAATGGAGCAATTTCCTTATGCTTGCGCCCAAGAAGTCAAGGAGAGTCTCAAAATGAAGTCCTCGCCCCATTCTCAATGCTAATGGTTGTGGAAGCATTGAAAAAAAATAGATCCTCCTCATCACACAGATTCCCCATCCCCACACACATCTTGCTTGGATCTTTCAGGTTTCGAAACTTGTTTTCTATAAAGGTCGCAAAATAAATAAATATAATCTGAGCATTTGTGATCTATGTGGAAATTACAAAAAGAGTTTCAACACATAAGTTACAATATAGAATTACAGAACTCTTTTTGTAGGAATTTATTTTGTGCTCGCATATAGGGATGGAAACGGTTGGGCGCGGATCGGATAGTGCTCTTAAAATGACTCTATGGTTCTATATCATTTATAAGTCGTTTTCTATGGTTTTCTTCCCTTTGTTCATTATTTGTTTTCCCTTTTTTACCTAAAATTCATGAAACAATATTAACATTTGGAAACATTTATTGGAATTCATGAACATTTTTAAGATACATGAAATTTTTTAATTTGATAAAATTATAGTTCACTGTTTTTTAATTCATGAACATTTGTAAAATTTATGGACATTTTAAAGTGATGAATATTTTTTAAAATGTGAACATTATCTAAATTCTCAAAAAAAATTGAAATACTTTCTTTTTTAATCTCTGAAAATAAATCCAATAGACATTTTTTTTGAAGAAACCCGACTGGAAAATCAAAGAGGAACGAGGTTACAAAAATAGCTCCTAAAAGTCGCTTAGAAAAGTGCTGAGGGGAACACCTGAGTGGACCGGCACAGGACCAAGCGGGTGCGGTGCTTGGTCGACCAATTTGACTTGCAGACAATTGGTTTAGCTTGTACTCCCTCCGTAAACTAATATAAGAGCATTTAGAATACTAAAGTAGTGATCTAAACACTCTTATATTAGTTTACAGAGGGAGTACCTCGTAACATCTCTTAGGCTTATCGGTTATTTCTAGAAAAAAAGATTATTGGTAGCTGGTCACTCATTTTCAAGGTCCATGGTTCAATAATAGTTGAAAACAAAGTGGCAAACGTTTGCATACTGATACGTCTCCGTCGTATCTATTTTTTTTAACATTTTCCTCTTGTTTCGGACTCTAATTTGTATGATTTAAATAAAACTAATCTGGACTAGCGCTATTTTCAGCAGAACTACCATGGTGTTGTTTTTATGCAGAAATAAAAGTTCTCAGATTGGAACGAAACTTTGCAAAGAATTTTTATATGAATAAAGAAAAATACTAGAGTCAAGAACCACCGGAGGGGGGCACCTGGTTGGGCACAACCCAGCAGGGCGCCCCCCCCCCTCCATGCGCGCCCAGGTGGGTTGTCCCCACCTGATGGCCCCGTAGACCCTGAAACCGACACTATAAAAGCACATTTTTCCAAAAAAAACAGGGAAGAAGAATTATCTCGTTTCGCGATAGGAAGCCGCCGTCACCTTCGTTCTTCATCAGGAGGCCAGATCTGCAATTCGTTTGGGGCTCCGGGGAGGGAAACTTTGGTCTTCATCATCACCAAACCTCCTCCATCGCCAATTCCATGATGCTCTCCACCGGAAGTGAGTAATTCATTTATAGACTCGTTGGTCGGTGAGGAGTTAGATGAGATTCATCATGTAATCGAGTTAGTTTTGTTAGGGCTTGATCCCTAGTATCCACTATGTTCTGAGATTGATGTTGCTATGACTTTGCCATGCTTAATGCTTGTCACTTTGGACCCGGGTGCCATGATTTCCGATCTGAACCGTTTATGTGATCACCATTATATCTATGTTCTAGATCCGATCTTGCAAGTTATAGTCACCTACTACGTGTTATGATCCAGCAATCCCGGAGTAACAATAGTCGGAACACTTCCCAATGATGACCGTAGTTTGAGGATTTCATGTATTCACCGTGTATTAATGCTTTGTTCTGGTTCTCTACGAAAAGGAGGCCTTAATATCCATTAGTTTTCAATAGGACCCGTTGTCACAGGAGGGTAGGACAAAAGATGTCATGCAAGTTCTTTCCAAAAGCACGTATAACTATTTACGGAATACATGCCTACATTATATTTATAAACTGGAGCTAGTGTCGTATCGCCCTAGGTTAAGACTGTAATATGATGAATATCATCCAACAAATTGCCGATCAAATGCCTATGATTTTCCTACATACTGATCTTGCTACACAGAAAGCATTTCGGATCTACCGATTTATACACTCGGTGATACCGAAGCAGTTTTTGGAACCTAAACTAGTGAACTCGGTCGGACCGAGTCACAGTTCGGTGGCACCGAGACTGCTAGGGTTTCACAGAGAATTGAACTCGGTCACACCGATTTGCAATTTTCGGTCAGACCAAAAATGCGTGTGCTCTGGCCTAAGCCAAAATCGGTGAGACCGATTTTTACAACTCGGTCGGTCCGAGATGAATTCGGCACAGACCTAACCCTAAATTTTCAAATCAAAACTAATCTACGGGATGTTTTCGCTGGACAGGATGATTTCAATCGTGGCAAAGTGTTGGGGAACGTTGCAGAAAACAAAAATTTTCCTACGGTTTCACCAAGATCCATCTATGAGTTCATCTAGCAACGAGTGATCAGATGCATCTACATACCTTTGTAGATCGCGAGCGGAAGCGTTCAAAGAACGGGGATGAGGGAGTCGTACTCGACGTGATCCAAATCACCGGAGATCCTAGCGCCGAACGGACGGCACCTCCGCGTTCAACACACGTACGGTCAGCGTGACGTCTCCTCCTTCTTGATCCAGCAAGGGGGAAGGAGAGGTTGATGAAGATCCAGCAGCACGACGACGTGGTGGTGGATGCAGCAGTCACCGCAGCAGGGCTTCGCCAAGCTCTATGGAGGAGGAGGGGGT